GGGAGCCGGGCGGGAACGCCGTCGCGGCGAGGGGACTCGGAGACGCTCGCGGTAAAACGGCTAAAACGAGATTAGAGCCAACCCGACCGCCGCCGTCTTTCGGCCGAGCGCGGCGCCGCTTGCCTGAGGGTTCCTCCTCTGTCCCCCGATGCCAAATGCTCCCCGTCGGGGCTGGCCTCCATCACCCGCACCCCGGATTTGACGTCGAGGTGACCCGCGTTTTCGTTTCGGTCGGGTGCGTTGGAGGAATCCTGGAGGTGCTGCGTGTTGTTGTCGACGTAGACGACGTTCAGCCGGGTCTTGGCGAGGGGGGACGACTTTCAGCAGGGTCTTGGCGAGGGAGGAGAGGGGACGGTCAGGCTCCCGGCAGAGCGCAGGCGGCTCTTTGGGGGAGGAGAGGAGCCCGCTTGCGTCACCCAACACCTCCCAACATCCCCGCTTTATTTTTCCACGCTTCCCGTTGAAGAAACACCAGGATTGGAGCAGCGCAACTGCGTCCTTTGATCGTTCCGGCAAAAATAGCGAGCGCAGAACGGAAAGCAGTTTCCAAGCTCGTTATAATCCCCAAAACCCCCTAAAAATCACCGCTCGTCTCCCGCTCGGGCGGCAGCTCCGTACCCAGAGCGGCAAGAAGCCGACGGGAAGCACCCCGAAACCTCCATATTTTTTTTTAGAGGCAAATCCCCCAAAACGAGAGCCCGGGGAAGCGGTTGAGCTCCCCCAGCCGCCGGCGCGGTTTTGGGGGGGCTGCCTTGAGCCGGGGAGGGGGGACGCACCCCCCCGTCCGCGTCGTACCGTGCTGTAGGCGCTGCCCTGGCTGGGGCGCGCGGAGCCGTTTTCCAGGCTCCAGGCGCGGATGGTGTTGTCCGAGGAACACGTCAGGAAGGAACCGGGAGGCAAACAGGATCTCCGCTCCTCGAATTCGGGGTACACCTACGCCCAGGGGGTGGTGAGGAAGGAAAAACGAGGCTGGGGGTGCCCCGAATCGCCCCCCGCGGGACCCGCTCGCCCTTACCTCGACGCTCCAGACGAAGGAACTGTGGAAAAGATCCGACCACACCTTCCTGACGTTCCGCAGGTCCCCCACCTCCCAGACGTAGACGCTGTGATCCTTGTAGACGCAAGACAGCCAGCGGTTGCAAACGTCGTAGGCCAAGGCGATGGTGTCGGGATAAACCAGGTCCGGCCGCCTTCGGGGAGAGGGAAACGGAGTCGGGTCGCGTTCCGAGGGTGCGGAGTTTGGGGGGTCCGAGCCCTCCGAGCGCTGCGGCGGAGGCAGATTGGATTCGCGAATGAAACGGCGTCCGTATCCCGACGCGCAGCCTCGAAACGAAGGGGATAACGAAGCTGCGGACCCCCCGCCCCGTAAGCCCGACCCTCCCGTCCTTCGCCGTGCGTAAAATCGGGCGCCGATTCAAACCTCGGCTCAAAGCTCCGTCGAGACGAGCTGGCGGTATCCGAAACGCCGCGGTTCGGTGACGGAAACCGCGCCGGGCGGTTCGGAGCGGGGAAAAGTGGGGGGGGGGGGGGGGCCCCGGATCCCTCGGCCGTGCGGTACCTCGGCGGGGCGGCTTGGGTGACGTCCACGCCCAGGGGATGAGGTTTGGGGAGGTCGCTTAAGTAACGCATGTCCCGAGCTTGGAAAATCCTCACCGTGCCGTCGGCGCAGCCGCAAAATATCAGTTCCTCGCTGAGGCAGAGGCAATTTGCCAGCGGTACCTACAACCGGAGCGGGTAAAATCCGTAGCGGTGGGCTTCATCCCGGGGATCGGGGGGGGTGGATCCCGCACCCACCGTACCTTCAGAAGGATCCATTTTTCCAGCACCCGTTTGTCGTTGAATCGGCAGAGCAATCCCGAGGAGGAGACGCAAAAGGTGCTGCCCGACATCGGCCCTTGCCCGCAGGCCACGTCGCAGAAAACGTTATCGTGAAGCTCGCCCAGCAACCCCGAGCGTCCCACCAGCGGCACCGTCTCGTTGCTCTGCAAAACGGGATAGCGGCGGCGGTAACGAGCGGTAACGGAAGAAAATGGCTGCCAGCCCGACGGAGCGAACCGCTGGATGTCGGCAGCGTCCTCGAGCCGAAACCCCCGCGGAACGAAGCGACGACGTTCGGTCACGACGCGGCGTGAATTTTTTTGAGGGGGGAAAAATGGCTTTTTTTCCGGTTCTTTCTACAAAAACCGCCCGCTCCCGCGTCACTTTGGCGACGCGGATTTCAGCGGCGCCCAGCCTCGAGTTCGACTCCGTCGGCCGCCCCGCGCCCCTGCGAGACGCCGTCGCCCTCACCTTCAGCTCCCTCGACGAGTCCAGGAACCAAAATTTGACGTGGCGGTGCCCCACGGTGACGAAATAGCTGTCCTCGGAGAAGGACACCGCCGTCACTTTGCAGGACACCTTGTTCGACGCGACCAGGGAATCTTTCTGCTCGGGGGGAAAAAAAAAAAAAAAACAAAAAGACGCCACGGCGTCGCGCGCGATAAGCGTTACCCCGCGAAAATCCGGAGCCGCCTGCGAGCGTGAGAAAAGCTGGATAAAAAAAAGCTGTTTTCCCCTGGATTTGGGGAATTTTGGATAAACCGGAGCTCACCTTCCAATCCCAAACGTTGACGGCCATGTCGTGCGGGTACCCTACCGACACCAGGTATTTGGCGCTGGGGGAGAAGGCGACGCAAGCCACGCCGTGCTTGTGACCGTGCAACGCCGAGACCTGCGCCCGTTCTTCCACGTCCCAGACGCGGACGGCCGGTCGGTGCCCGTTCTGCGCGACGGGGTGGAAAACCGGCGGCGTTGACGGTTTTGTGTTGCCGCCCTTTGCGGGGCGATCCCAAATTGGGGGGGGGGAAACCCACCCCTCCCCCCCCCCCAAAAAACAAGCAGGGGAGGTATCGGAACAGGCAAAATCGGGGTGGAGGTGACTAGAAATAAGTGACACCCACCTCTCCGGTGACGATGAGCTTCCCGTCAGGCGAAAAAGCCAACGCGCTCAGGGTTTTCCTGGAAAATATTGTATTTTCTTGAACGACGGGGCTACTCTGGAGGGAAAACTGGGTCTTTCCGTGGGAGGAAAAATAGCGGAAGTGGCGCAAGCGGCGTTCCTGAAACCCGATGTACGGCACAGCCTGCGTTCGGGGGGTGTCTGGGGGTGTTTGGGGGGTCCCTGGA